AGTGGAGCCAGCTACAGTGCTACTGGAGCCAGTACACTGTGTCATTGTGAATCTAAGTTCAGTATTGTTTCAAAGTGGAGCCATATTTAACTTCTTTATGTATTTCAAAGTGGAGCCAGCTACAGTGCTACTGGAGCCAGTACACTGTGTCATTGTGAATCTAAGTTCAGTATTGTTTCAAAGTGGAGCCATATTTAACTTCTTTATGTATTTCAAAGTGGAGCCAGCTACAGTGCTACTGGAGCCAGTACACTGTGTCATTGTGAATCTAAGTTCAGTATTGTTTCAAAGTGGAGCCATATTTAACTTCTTTATGTATTTCAAAGTGGAGCCAGCTACAGTGCTACTGGAGCCAGTACACTGTGTCATTGTGAATCTAAGTTCAGTATTGTTTCAAAGTGGAGCCATATTTAACTTCTTTATGTATTTCAAAGTGGAGCCAGCTACAGTGCTACTGGAGCCAGTACACTGTGTCATTGTGAATCTAAGTTCAGTATTGTTTCAAAGTGGAGCCATATTTAACTTCTTTATGTATTTCAAAGTGGAGCCAGCTACAGTGCTACTGGAGCCAGTACACTGTGTCATTGTGAATCTAAGTTCAGTATTGTTTCAAAGTGGAGCCATATTTAACTTCTTTATGTATTTCAAAGTGGAGCCAGCTACAGTGCTACTGGAGCCAGTACACTGTGTCATTGTGAATCTAAGTTCAGTATTGTTTCAAAGTGGAGCCATATTTAACTTCTTTATGTATTTCAAAGTGGAGCCAGCTACAGTGCTACTGGAGCCAGTACACTGTGTCATTGTGAATCTAAGTTCAGTATTGTTTCAAAGTGGAGCCATATTTAACTTCTTTATGTATTTCAAAGTGGAGCCAGCTACAGTGCTACTGGAGCCAGTACACTGTGTCATTGTGAATCTAAGTTCAGTATTGTTTCAAAGTGGAGCCATATTTAACTTCTTTATGTATTTCAAAGTGGAGCCAGCTACAGTGCTACTGGAGCCAGTACACTGTGTCATTGTGAATCTAAGTTCAGTATTGTTTCAAAGTGGAGCCATATTTAACTTCTTTATGTATTTCAAAGTGGAGCCAGCTACAGTGCTACTGGAGCCAGTACACTGTGTCATTGTGAATCTAAGTTCAGTATTGTTTCAAAGTGGAGCCATATTTAACTTCTTTATGTATTTCAAAGTGGAGCCAGCTACAGTGCTACTGGAGCCAGTACACTGTGTCATTGTGAATCTAAGTTCAGTATTGTTTCAAAGTGGAGCCATATTTAACTTCTTTATGTATTTCAAAGTGGAGCCAGCTACAGTGCTACTGGAGCCAGTACACTGTGTCATTGTGAATCTAAGTTCAGTATTGTTTCAAAGTGGAGCCATATTTAACTTCTTTATGTATTTCAAAGTGGAGCCAGCTACAGTGCTACTGGAGCCAGTACACTGTGTCATTGTGAATCTAAGTTCAGTATTGTTTCAAAGTGGAGCCATATTTAACTTCTTTATGTATTTCAAAGTGGAGCCAGCTACAGTGCTACTGGAGCCAGTACACTGTGTCATTGTGAATCTAAGTTCAGTATTGTTTCAAAGTGGAGCCATATTTAACTTCTTTATGTATTTCAAAGTGGAGCCAGCTACAGTGCTACTGGAGCCAGTACACTGTGTCATTGTGAATCTAAGTTCAGTATTGTTTCAAAGTGGAGCCATATTTAACTTCTTTATGTATTTCAAAGTGGAGCCAGCTACAGTGCTACTGGAGCCAGTACACTGTGTCATTGTGAATCTAAGTTCAGTATTGTTTCAAAGTGGAGCCATATTTAACTTCTTTATGTATTTCAAAGTGGAGCCAGCTACAGTGCTACTGGAGCCAGTACACTGTGTCATTGTGAATCTAAGTTCAGTATTGTTTCAAAGTGGAGCCATATTTAACTTCTTTATGTATTTCAAAGTGGAGCCAGCTACAGTGCTACTGGAGCCAGTACACTGTGTCATTGTGAATCTAAGTTCAGTATTGTTTCAAAGTGGAGCCATATTTAACTTCTTTATGTATTTCAAAGTGGAGCCAGCTACAGTGCTACTGGAGCCAGTACACTGTGTCATTGTGAATCTAAGTTCAGTATTGTTTCAAAGTGGAGCCATATTTAACTTCTTTATGTATTTCAAAGTGGAGCCAGCTACAGTGCTACTGGAGCCAGTACACTGTGTCATTGTGAATCTAAGTTCAGTATTGTTTCAAAGTGGAGCCATATTTAACTTCTTTATGTATTTCAAAGTGGAGCCTGGAAAAAATAAAGAAGCAAAAAAAATAAATTCATTAACTATAAAAAAAAAATTATTTTAACAAAAAATAATTTTTTTTAAAAAAAAGAATCATTTTGCTGTTTAAATATTACCAAAAAAACAAAAAAAATTTCCCGCTCGATTTTCCACCCCCTTTTTTCCATTCCCGCTCGGCTTCCCCCCCTCCCCATCTCTTGAACCAAAATACCCAATCTGAAAAACCAAAAATCCCCTTCAACCAAAAATCCCTAATTCTTACGGCTCCATCGAATTCGAGAAGATCCGACTAAGATGGTATCCAGGCTACAATCTGTGGAGATCGAAGCCATGGTCGTTTGCCATTCATTTTCCACGATTGTACTAACGGTTGTAGCCACGACTACTGCCGACGAGTGAGGAAAAGAAGAGATGAGAGGCGAGCGTTTAGAGATGGAGGTGCAAGAACAAAGTGAAGAAAAGGTGATCGAAGCCATGGCCGTTTTTGATCTGTTTGGTCATTGATATCTATTTGAATCTCTTTGAATCTATATCTATATATATATATATCTTGGTTTTTGCTCTGTTTGTTCATTAATGTGAACTAATACTAATGCTGAAAGGTGCGTACTATACACAGAATATAGAATATCTCCAGATTGTATTTACATCAAATAATTTCTACAACTGCCATGTTTCTCATGTAATTAATAATTTCTACAATATCTCAATTTTGTTTCTTTTGTTTTTGAAGTTTCTTTGTCATTCTCTTTTTTCTAATGTAACCTTTATAAACTGATGCAGAAAGCAGCTGAACGGAGCTAATGATTAGGTTCCCATATGGAGGTAAAATTCTTATTCTCTCTTCAAGATTATTGACATCTCTATTTAGCACAGCATCACAGTTCTTATTCAGTCAATGTGTTCCAAAAAATCTGTTACAAGATCCTTTAATCATCTTATGAGCATCATGACTAATAGCAATTTTGATTATTTATAATTGAAATTTGCAACTAATTATGGGTGTATGTTATTTTTGTGTGCTTCTAAATACACCCACTTAATTTGTCTTCACACCCACCATATGCATTGTAGAATTTTTTATCTTATGGAGAAATACTTGTACATGTGGGTGTAGAGAAAAGTTTAGTGGGTGCATTTAGAAGCTCCCAGAATTCTCATACCCTCAACCATTAGCACAATTCTTAGATAATTAATTTCTTCCAATTGATTATGAGATAAAAGAAGATGACTTCTGGTATGAAATCAGAATAGTGTTGTTAAGTTACCACTAAAGGTTCTCCAACATGTGAAGCCACTCAACCAAATTCCATTGGTTAGCCCCTGTTTACACCTCCAGTGAACGTGAATTCAGTGACACGGGTTGCTGTAAGAGCTGCAACTGATCCAGTGTTTCCTCCTGGTATTATAGACGTATATGGTATTCTACGATATAGCCAACAAAAGTCAGCTTAGTCATTGTATTGGGTATTTTTCTTCTCTTTGTTCTTTTGTTATTGTTATAATAAGAACATCAATATCTAACTTTTTCCCTATTAGAATAAATTTTGAGCCAATCCTTGTGTCAAATTATAGGAAGCTTACTTGAGAATTGGGCTTAATAAAAAGATTCAACACTCACACTCTGCTAGGTGACCAAAGCCATGGTAGTAATGGGTAAAGGTAAATCATGTTAAGCATTCAGTACTTGCATCCATTAGTGCCTATGCTGTGTGTGTACAACATGGAAGCCATGTGAAAATTCATATATTATCTACGATATGGAGTCTTTTTGTCTCCAATTTTCTGCTTTCCTTGTCTCAAAACATTCACATTTATTAGATTATGTCTTTAGATCATCACATTTTGAGATTTTCAATGATCCAATGCCTTGAATGTTTTGGGATGGAGGATAGAAAAATTTGGAGATGAACGATCATTTATGTTTGTCTATTGAGCACTAGAAAAGTATCATTTAATGTGCTCTGTTTATAAATTTTTATGACGAATTTGCAAAGGAAATTTCTTTGATATGACCTTATGACTTATTTTTTGGTGAACGTTATGAATTTTTGTAATAAATGTTACGTAATTTTTTTTGTATGATTATCACAATATGCAGTTTTTGAAGTGAAGTTGTAATAATTTGTGATATAGTTACTGATTTTTATAGTAGTGTTATACTTTTTTTATCCAAATGTAACTCAATATTAATATATTATATTTCAAAATGTTGTGATTATACGCAAGTTAAGCTCTAACTACCACATATATGGTCAGCACATATATGTTTCAAGTTGATCCTTATTTAGTTCAATGGATTGAATGTGGAAATCTCAAATCAGCTTCTGATAATTCATTGGAGAAATCATTTGCTTGCCTTATGATTTTGGGATTGAATTTATACAGGCTTGTCAGTAAAGGCTGCAAACTAGTTGGATGTGGTTTTGAAGTACCAAGTCTTCAAGTTTCCAATGATGATCTTGCCAAAGTTGTTGATACTTCAGATGAGTGGATATCTGTTCGCACTGGGATCCGCAATCAACGAGTTCTAACAGGTCAGTTTTTCCTCAGAGTTCATGCCTGCTGGCATTTATCTGGTCTTATGAACAGTTTGAGGTAGCTTTGCTTACTGCTATTATCTGAGCTTCATTTTGATTGCAAGACTGAAATTGAGCTTTAGCTAGACTTTGCTTACATATTGATTTTTGTTTGCTTGGCTAGGGTGGGTTGGTTGGGTTACCTAGGTATTGATTTTGCAGAATTCATAATTTTGTATGGAACAAGTTTATAGTTCCTGAATCACCCTAACTGTATTATTAGACTGTGGCGGTCTTGAAGTCTGCCAACCATGGCATGCCTAATCAGACAAATGTTGAAACTTCCTAGTATTAAAATGTTGAAACTTCCTTTTGGTTGCCTAATTAGACAAGTTACTGAACATCTTTTAGTAACTAAAAGAAGGTTGAGTAGCACAAATTAATGCATAGAACAATATTATCTCAACAAATAAACATATGTTTCATACAAAATTAATAACCCATCATATAGCTGTAACTCAACAAGAAGAAAAGAAATGATAAGATTTTGACTCTACACATTAAATGGATAGATGCCGAGGTCTGCCACGTGGCCGTGCACTCACCATGCTTTTTTCTTTATTTTTCTGTGGAGCATGGTCGGTTGAATTCCGGCATCTTCTCTTTCTCAATCTGCACCTAGTTCTCAATAAGTTTATTCTCTCCCATGAAAGTGAATTTTCTCACTGTAGACAACCTAATCATATACACCGCTAGCTTGGTGGATTTGAATACCAAATTCAGGAAGTTGCAACTATTCAAGAGGAGTGCCAGACCAAAATCTAAAACCCTACAGATGTAAGTTTGCTTCATACCATAATAATTTAAAACATCAGTTGTTGTTATATATATGATCTATTATCATGATGAGTTTAATTTCTTCATCAAGTAGGTGCTCTCACTTGTAATCTTCACTATTTTCTATGACTAACACCAAATCATTGTATAGTTCCAATTCACTAACATCAAATCATCATAAAATTGATGAACTCCCTCCCCTCCAAATGCCACCAGGAAACTTCAAATTTTGGTTTGCAAGAGATTAATGATGAGATAAATATGAAAGTAAAAAAGTACCTTAGAGGCGAAGGTGCTAATTTGGAGGTATGACACTTGTGTTTGAGATTCTTAGGCACTTTTATTTCTTTCTTCTTCTATTGCCCTGAAAATCATATACATTTGCAGGGTTTACGAGATAAAAAATTGAAAGGTCAGCTTGCTATTAGAGAAGAATTATATGGAAAATCTGCAAAGGCTGCTGCCAAGGCTGAGAAGGTGAATTTTATGTGATTTGATGTTCAATCAATTGATTAAGTTCTTTTCTCTACTTTTTAAGTCTTACATAATTTGTAGGTCCAGGTTCATCTAAACTCATTGTTTACATAATTTGGGGTTCTAATTTGGATTTCAAGTTCGTTCAAATCACTAGCACTATTGTTTATGGTTTCAATTTAATTGATTTAGGCTTTTAGATCTTGACTGATTTTCATATGGATCTAAAATATGTGTATGAGAGAGAAAAGAGGAGAGATGTTAGAAAGTTGATGTTGATGAACCCAACACAATTATAGTTGGAAAGTAGCAGTAAAGTGCTCAAGATTTGAATTTATAATATAAATTTAAATTTGATATGATATAAGTCATATTTAGAAAGTATTTAATTCACAAATTTTCAAATTTTGAACACTCTTTTAGGTATTTTCTTCTAAGTACATAACATTATTGTGCTAGAAAGTAAGCCAATTCCACGCAAGTAGAATGCTAAAACTACAAGATAAGAGACAGTCAAGCAATGTTTGAGTTTTGAGGATGGCTTTGCTCACATCCTGTTGGCTCATCATTGAATCTATCATCATCCCAGATGAATTTCTGAAGTGGTATTATTTGAGCTTCTACATCCACCCTCTTTTGCTTTTTCTCTGTCAGATCTTCCTATGGATCAAACTGCTACAAACATGGCTTCTACCCATTGTCTCTCTTCCTATTCAAACCACTTGTTTCGTAGCTTCAAGCATTTTCAGGTTTGCAACTGGTATCATCTCTCTATTCTCATTCATTAGATTGAACAATATTAAAACTGTATATGACAATTCACTTCTAGTGGAAGAGACTGTAAGAGAACCAAATGTGCATGTTGAAGAAGATATAAGATTGGAGGAGTATGTGTGTTCTGATTGCAGTTTCAATTCAGACACTCAAGATGTGGATATGACTAAGGATTCATCATTCAATTGTGGTTTTGATTCACACACTGAAGATGTGGAAATGGATGTGTCTTTGCCATCGGTGTGCATCTCTGATTCAACCATCATGGGATGAGAATCGATTGATGATCAGAGCAGGAAGGCAGATTTAGATTCATTATACCAGAAGTATACTGACAGGATGAGATGGTTTGATTTACTCAATCATGACAGAACATGTGGTATAAATAAGTATTCATAATCATGAGCATTATTGCCTAAACGTTGCAGCGAGATTCCAGAAGTTTCACTCATGAAATCTTTGACAGGATGAAACCATAACCATCTTTTGTTCATTATGTCTTTAGTTCTCTATTTGTCTTTCTTCTTCTCCTTTTTATTTGTTTTGAAAAATGGGGAATGAAGAACCATGACAGCTCGAGTATTCTTCTGTTATGATGAATGAATAACCATTTATTATAAAAGGAACCTTTATATATGTAGCTCACATTTAAGCCGAGGTCCTAGATTTCACTCTTACCCAGGACATCTATATATTGTACTTTGCCTTATCCATGTTATGGAACTGTTGTTATTATTATGCTATAGTATTCGCCTTTTAATGGATACCTTTCTGTTTTAGTGTAATGGAAAAGGATTCTCCATTGACATACTCTCTCTCTGTTGTAGGTTAGGGTGTTATGCGAGAAGGCTAAGGGGATTCTAATGGAAGAAAGCAATGTAACCATCTTTTGTCTTGACTCTTCCCGATAGGAATAAACAAACTTGTCCAATATGCCATATAATGTGGAAGTAGTAAAGAGTTCAAATTGATTCTTATTCTTCACTAATTCTTCACTTTGATTCTTATGTTTATAAATATATTTTTCTGCACTTATTATGCACATTATCCCATAGTGATTCTTATTCTTATTCTTATAAATATAATGTGGAAGTAGTAAAGAGTTCAAATATATTCTTATTCTTATTCCTCATGTATTTTTCTGCACTTATTACGCACATTATCCCATAGTGATTAACTTTATGATATCTTGAATTGAATTGGCATCAGGGTTCTTCACAATTTGCCATCCTCGGTGAAGCTACCATCAACCTGCTGATTATGCTGATGCACTGAATCCTTCTACCATTGCACTGCCTCTACATGGATGTAAGTCTGGAACTATTTTACATGTGAGACACTTCTATCAGTTCCTTAAGCTTTTAAACATATACCTTTTTCAATTGTAACCAGTGGCCAAGTTGAATGTATTAGTTGAGCAGAAATATCAAAATTCAAATGAAGAATTTTGAATTTATTGCGCTTCTCATTACTTGGATTGGGATTTTTAAAGTTTCTGCTCAACTTAGCAGCCACCTAGAAGTAAACAGGATTTTTTAATTGGATTCTTAACTCTATTTGTTTTTTGGGTTGTTGATTATACTCCATTTGGTTTCCTAGAAAATCTAGTAAAGAGACGGAAAATTTTGAATTTATTAGGTTTCGTATTACTTGAATTGGGAATGTAAAATGTTTTACTCAACTTAGCGTAGTACAAGTAGATAGCATTAGTTAATTGAATTCTTAATTTTGTTGTCCGTTTGGATTATGGAAAAATCGAAGCATTAGTTACTATCCTCTCTCTATGTATTTCTTGGGTTTTTGATTATACTCCATTTGGTTGTTGATTATACTCCATTTGATTATACTCCATTAATTACTCCTTTTATCAGTAGCCCATCTGCACCAATACCAACCCAAACCAAGCATAGCAAAACAGACACCACAATAGTGTAGCATTCCACACTACAGCAGTTATAGGAAAAACTAAAAAACTACACTTTTCTGGTTAATTAGCACTCCACACTACAGTTTAGCACTCCACACTTTTTTGCTAGTTGAGAAGTCCATTGCATATTATTGTGAACTGTTGTTTTATTTAATTATTTTTGACTTGTTCTTCTTTGAATTACATTTAAGTCCGTTCAAAAAACTAAACAATGAAATACCAAAGTGGTAATGCTATAGACATAAGAATGCTGTTGTTTTATTTACAATTTGATAATGATAGTTATTTAATTTGCTAATGTGACCTTAACTTTTCATGGACATTTTTCATTATTTGTCCAATTTTACCTGACATTATTTCTCTTTTTCTTTGGTACAGATGGATGAACTCGTGCACAAAGCTAAATTGTATAGGAGTTTTGGCACTTTTTGTATCTTTGGAAGGATTATATATTTTTGTATACATGTATATGGAAAATATTAGGGTAGACCAGTAGTTATATTTTTAGATACACTAGTAGTTATATTTTTGGATGGGTGTGTATGGAAAATATTTGGTAGACTACTAGTTATATTTTTGGGTTGATGCCCATGGATAAAAATTTAAAACATAATAATTACTTGTTATGTTTTAAATTTTTATGCTAGATTAAAAATGTAGTTTGGAATTACTTGTGGATGAAAACTTATAATAGTTGCTGACTTTAATAAAACATGTTCAGAAATGGTTGATATATGTATTTTGTTGAATGTTCATGATTCAATTTATTTGTTGATTGGAATGATTTTTGCAAATTACAGATTATATTGAATAAATTGGATGGATTATTATAAATTACAGGTTTATTTTGTTGGATGTTGGCGACTAAATTTTGGTTTTGTTTTTTTAGTTTTGGCGACCAATTGATTAGTCGAGAAAGATCCGTTATACTTTTGCCGACAAAATAAAGTAGTCCGTGTATCACTAAGCACATTTGGCTACTAAATAATTAGTCGTTAAAATTATTAATTTTGGCAACCAAAAGATTTGGTCGCAAAGAGGTCTATTGCCGACTAAAGTTTTAGTTGCGCAAACATTTTTTTTGGCGACAAACATGTTTGGTCGTGGAATGTGACAATTGGCGACCAAACTAAGAGGTCGTAGAATGTCACAATTCGCGACTAAAATTTTTGGTCGTAGAATGTCGCAATTGGCAACCAAAGTTTTTTGGTCGTGGAATGTCACAATTGGCGACCAAACTTTTTGGTCGTGGAATGTGACAATTGGCGACTAAGATATTTGGTTGGGAAAATATCACTTTTCGCGACCAAAGTGTTTTAGCGACAAAATGGATTAGTCGCAGTAATGACATATTTAGCGACCAAATATTTAGTCGGCAAATCTAACTTTTCCCGACCAACCAAAATTTTGGTCGCGAATTACTTTTCCCGACCCTCAATTGGCGACCAAACTAGCGACCAAAAAATTTGGTCGCGGATTACTTTTGCCGACTAAAAATGGGCTTTTAGCGACCAATTTTTTAGACCCTTAATCTTGCTATTTTTAATTTTTAATTGATGACCATCTAAACCCTAACCTTAAACCTACCCTACCCAGTTATCATCTATCACCACTATTTTCGACTGTCACTCCTGGCTCCTTCCTACTTTCCTAAGCCCCTCTCTACTACACTCCAATCTCTTGCCACTCTCTTAAACTAACACTTTACTCTTCACTACTACCGCCATAGCCACCGTTTAGCACCTTCTCGACCACTAGAGAGAGAGAGATGAAAAAAGAAGGAAAGAAAAGAAAAAAAATAGGGGTTCACAGGGTGAGAAGGGCTATATGAGGGGGTTCGTAGAGGTGGGAAATGAGGAGAGGGCTTGGGGGTTGGCAAGAGACGGTTGAGAGGGATTGGGCAATAGAAAAGAGGATGAGAGGAGCTAGGGAAGGCTAAGAGCTGGAGTGATATGGATATGAAGGGTTCGATAGTGGTGGGAGAGGATAGAAGGAGTGCAATTACCAGGTAAATTTGAAATTTTAATTATTGTGTTAGAGGCCTAGATAACTTAGAATAATTATTATAAAGTCCCCAATGGAGTCATGGTACTTCAGTTTAGACCTTCGTCAATTAATTTTTCTATGCGATCAATTATCTCGATTTATGTGTATTAACTCTTGAGCCAACCCAAGACTTGAGGGACAAACCCTTCGGGTTCTGTGTACGATGCTAATATGACCATAAGATCAATCCTATTAAATTAGAGTTTAATTAGTTGTTGAGAGAGACAGTGCAACGATCGTCGTGTTTTGTGTGCACCTAGATCTGAATTGACACAAGATCCGAGAGATGGAATTCCTGAGCCCGTTAGTAGATGTTAATATGTTAACACATTGTTATTTAATAATTTGGACACATTTTGGTGAATTAGGAATTTCAATGCTCAATTTGTCTCGTTATGCTTGCACGCAGGGCCAATCCAATTTGAGAGTCAGAAGATGGACTCTCTGGGCCCAATCATTATTAATTTTGTGTTATTTATGTGTATGTTATTTATTTTATTCTAGTACAAAAAGCATACATTTTCTATGTCCGAACTCTACAGATTTGATCTAGGGTTTTGGGGGAAGCCCAAAACCCTAAAACAATGCAAAACGTATAAAAATTAGAGTCCAAGAGGAGTCAACTAGCCAGCCGTCTCTCTCTCCTCTTTATCTCATCTTTTTCCTCTTTTATACCCTTTCCTTACACAACTTGGTCCTTCACTTAAACAAGTCTTGGAAGGGGAAATGAGTCATCATTTGTTGTGCCAATCACACTTTAACCTATAGAATCCTATTATACATGTGTACAATTGTATGGAATTTAAAATGGAGGGTTGTGATTGAGTTCATCATAGTTAGATGTATTTTGAACCATTGGATGAAATAATAAGTGAATGGATTAATGGGTGATTATTACATAACTTAATGAGGGTGTTTTAATACACAAAAGATGAGAAGAAAATTGTATTATTCTCCTTTCTCTCTCTACCCGTACCATCTCTCTATTTCTCTTTCTCCCTCTTTGTTCTTTATTATTCACCATTAATGCACTTTTAAAGCTTGCTTTGATCTTGATTTATTCAAGGTAGTGAGAGAATAAGTGTTTGCGAGCTTATATACTTAGGTTAGAGAGTGCATTGAGTGCTTGAGAGTGATTTTTAGCTTGGATTAAAGATCTAATTTGAGGTGTTGTTGAAGAACTTGGTATATTTTTGAAACCTACACCCCATCTCAATCTTATCTCTCAATTGTTAGATCATTTAAAGCTTGTTTGAGGTAGGGATTTTCTCATTTTCTTCTTAGAACAACATGCTAGGGTTTATTCAAGTTAATAATTTGATTTCATATGTTATTGGCATGATTTGGTATGAAAAGTATGATTTAAATTGTTTTTATTTAAATCATGAAATACACATGTTAGTTTATGGCACCTTGAAGTAGTTTTTGAGTTAAAGTTAGATTTTCATATTCCAAACTTGAAAAGTGTCTTAGTTGGTCGATTTCATGAATTTAAAGTATAATGTTGCTATGTTACATTTAATTTCAAGAAATACATTATTTAATAAATTTGGGACTTTTTGCTCAAATTTCAAAAAGAGTTATTTATGCCATATTTTAAGATTTTTATTTATTTTTATTTATGTAAATGACATAACTTTTGGATAACTTTATCAGTAATGCTAGGTATCTTGAAAATTATTTCATTTCATGAAAATGATCATGATAGGTTTTTGGCCTTTAGATTATACATGCAATAAGTTATAATGTGTAATACAAGGATGGAGATTCTTTCATAATCATCCTCATAAGCACTTTTCATGAAGCCTAGTGTTAGATTTTTGTAATTGGCAATCCCGTTTGACAAAACTCTTTTCAGTTATAATTTTATTTGTTCTTTTGGTTCAGTGAGGATGTGAGTGTTGAGATGTGAATTCAATCCGAATTGCGTAGAAGAATTTGTGATCTTGAGCCTTTTATGTTTGCCATCTCGCTGACTATGTACGGGGATTAAGCTGCCTGGTCACTTTGCTGACTATGTGCCAAAGTTGTTTGACCGCTTGAGCGATTATTTGTGTGCTCGAGCAGTTAATAAGAGCATCTAGTATCTCTGCCTGCAAATTGAACTTCTAGAAACCGCTCGAGTGGTGAAATGTGCACTTGACTAGTCGGCCTATATGTTTTGCATCGCCTTTACTCACACTGCTCGAGTGGCGAAGTGTACGCTTCGGTGGTCTTCACAATTTTGTTTATTATAAAGTGCATCATTTGCTGTTTTCAGGATTTAAGCTATCCAAATTCTAGGAGAGCCAAGCTACCAAGGTTTTCTATATTGAAGGGTATTTTTGTAAGTATTTCCTTGATGATTTGAAAGTGATCGATGGATCTACGAGTTTCATATTGGTATCATTAGGGGGTTGATCTTTAATCTTTTATTCACAAAGGAAAGAGGTGTTTTTCGGTGGATTTTGGAAAACTTGGGCTTGAAGCTTTGGTGGATTCCGAAGTGGCTTATCGTCGTGGATTCGACATCAGCGTTGTGGATTCAACTTTGGGCAAGACAATTTCGAGGTGAAGATGGCGGTGGAAGAGGCAAATCGGAGTCGTAATTCGGGTGATGACTCGCTAGGTAATTGAGGGTATGCATGTGTAATTCATTTTTGTCTTCTTAGTAGATTGTTTTGTGGTTTTGATCCATGGTTTTTTTTAATTTTTTTTTATCATAATTGGAGGCTCTCCAATTATGATTTTTTCCATGTTAAATTGTTGTGTCGATTTGTTCTTGATTGTTTGATTGTGATTGGTATTCACTATTTAAAATTGAAACATAATCACGAATCAACATCTCAGAGATTATCTAGATTTTTCCCCTAGCATTTTTCTAACTTTATATTTTTGTTAAATCTTTAAAGTATTGGAAAGTTGGGAAAAATAATTTAGTTGGGCTAATAATGGGATTAAATAGCCTAGTTATAAAGGGAAAATTATTGGGTCCATACTCCTCCACTGATCATCATTCACCATGCTTCTTCATGTTTCTCAATTACCTAACACAAAATCATGAACCCCCCTTCTCTACCAATCATAATATCTTGGAGTATCACGTGGTCGTACTCCAGAAGTAACTTATAACTTCCCGTTATAAAGACGGTTTGATTTGGTTGGGTTGTATTATTTGTCTCATATTTTTCAAACTATTGTGGAATAAGTTTGGGGCCTTTTGCTTATATCTCAAAAAGTGTTATTCTAGCATGAGTTCATAAATTTCTAGTATGATGTTGTTATGCTTTATTTGAAATCAAGAAAATGATTATTTAATAAATTTAGAATTTCTATGTCAAATCTCCAAAAGTGTAAATTATGGCATATTGCAAGATCAATGGTGTAAAAAGTATGTTATTTGGAACACTTCAAATTTTGGTAATTGTTTAAAGTGTTGTGAAAATTGGGAAAATAGTTTAGTTAGACTAATCATGAGTTAAAATG